TGTGTAAATAAAGGAGCTTCCAGTTTAGGCTGCAGCGGCAGCACTCCTGATGCCGACAGTGCGGGCCCAGCAGGGAATAAGAGTGGCCTTGAGGGTGAGGTGAGGGGGGGATTAAGGTTGAAAGATGGTGAAGAGTAACAAGAGACCCTTGCTTCCAAGAGGAACCACAAGACAGTCCTGTCGCAGTATTAGCTGGGCATTCAGAGCTCAGGGACTCCTGAGGGAGACACCCTGATTTGGTAAACGTAGTCCCGGACTGGGATATGAGCGTCCCCTGTCACCCCATACCTCATTGCTATCACGTTTCCTCTTCTGCAAAATAGCACCACCGCGTACCCTCATCTGCTGCAGCACTGCCACATCACGTTTGTATAAACACCACCTGCATTCGGGTCTACAATATTCTCCTCTCAAACGCTGATACTTTAACGGCTTAGTCCACTCTGGCCCCATAACTCCATAAGGTAGTGTTGGTTTTTTATAGTTACCGTCTTGTGATTCCTCATGAGCAACTCACAAAGCACTTGTGATCCAACTGGACTGTCTCCATGAAAACATGAGGATCACACACAGCCGATAACGATTAGCACCAGGGCTGAGGAAAGGAATAGCCAAGAGAATCAAGACCAGGAGGAACTCTCGGGGCATTGGCCATGAGATGAGGTGTTGCAGGTGGTCCGCGCTCCTCCTCCGGGGACGCCCCCATTGACGGTCACAGCCCCCACCACCCCCCATGCAGTCGACTATGCTAACTCTCCACCCTGAAATAATTTGGCCATGAAGCAAATCAAATGGCTCCTCTCCAGGCTGGGGTGGTCCTGCCTCAGTCCATTTGTTTTAGGAGTATGGACCAATGCTCCAATAACTTTACATCTGGTTAAGTAGTCCCAGGGAGGAAGATGGAGCTGCCCTGCACTCAGGTGGACAGGGGCTTTGTGCAAGTAGACTTAAGATCAAGTTATGAGAGTGAAAGTACAAGGTGTTTCAATAGCTGCAAATCCTGCGAGCAGTGAAAATGTTCCCCAACATCTTTTTTTAAAAAAAAAAAAACTTCATTCCCTACAATAAATATTTTTCTATACAAGGTAAAAAAATTCTAAATTTCACTCTGTAGTCTTAGAGTCTGTGATGGCTCTGAGAATACTGACAGTTTCTTTTTCTTCCTTGAATGGAGGGGGAAATCCTATATATTCCACCCGAGATTTTTTTTTTAATACCAAAGAGGATATTGTTTATAATAAATATGTATTCTCCTGATGAATAATAATTTGATAAAAATTATTCTGTTTTCCTATAAAATAATTTGTTTAAATGAGATGGGGTGAGGGTTTTTCCCCCTCCTGCTAACATGAAGTTTTCTCTATTTTCAGTGGCATCACAAGACAGTTGGGCAGTACTTTATATACTGAAAACAGGAATGACCCCGTTATCCCACCTGGTTAAATTTATACCCTCTTCAAAATTCTATTAATTCTTCTATTAATACTGGATTCTGTGGAGTCTAATAAGTGCTTCTGGAGAGTCTAATAAGAACCTTGATACAGATTTTTAGCAAACCCAGACTTAGTTCCTTTCTAAATAATGAATTTCTTGAACCCCTTCTCCTGAACATAGAAGCTGTAATATGGATGCCAATGTTTTGTGATCGAAATTTGATGAATATATTACAAATCCCAGCTGCACTCAAAGGAAGTAGTTTGGTTAGATGTTGAAGGCAGGAAGAAAATTCCACCGCTTTGTGAACTCAAGTTAGAATGTCAGTTGCCCAAAAGAGGGATTTTTTTTTTTTTTCAAAAGGGTAGATTCACTTTTAAAAATTGGCAGGCTAACTAACCACAGCAGATTTGGAATTCCAGTCCTGACCGAGAAGCAGGGGAAAAACATCCTCAAATGTACTATTAAGAAGTGGTTGTATATGGGGAGAATACAGATTGATGATAATGTTAGAATAAACACAGCATATATTTGAAATACCAGTCGATAATACATACATTGTCTCCCCAAACCTATGATAGATTTGGTGGATGAACCCTGATGATGTACCTTCTGAAGTGTGTAGGTAGACGAGGGGTGATGTGCATGCCAGGCCCTCACGTTCACGTTCAGACAGATTCTTGCTGGCAGCCATGTTCGTCTGTGAGTGGTGAAAAAAATAAAGGAATCTGAAGGTGATCAGTCCCATCGTGGATCTGGTAAATGAAAAATTTACATGTGTGAGTAGTTTTGCAGTCCGAGGAACATAGATGAGAAAGTGCAAAGCATTGAAATTGAAAGCTTTTAGAAACACACACACATAAATGAGAATGACTTAAATTGATTTTTTTTTTTAAATCCTTTCTTCTGTGGAGTCAAGTGACCCCAAAGCCTTTGGAGGCATATGGGAGGTGACAGAGGGCTAGTGGCTTTCTGTTTTAGAAGAGCAGGAGCAAATTAGAACAGAAACGTTGCCTGAACAGTTTGTTTTCTGGAGACCTGCACAGGAAAACAGCACCCGTCAGTGGGAACAATGAAGCGATCGGCTTTGTTTGCATAGAGGGACTTTGCAGAAAAGCTCCAGCTATAAAATACCAACACCCTCAGCTTGCCCCCAAGTTCCTCCTGTCACCCAGTTAATTCTGAAGGAGAACAGTGTCCTGTAGGGGCTCAGTCTGTGTGTGTTTGCTGTACCACAGTCAACACTCCCTCTCCCCTAATTTTCTGAAACTGACCAAATACTTTCCTGGGGACAGAGGAGGAAAATGGTGTGGTCCTGGGCATTCATCGCCTAACACTGCCCACAAGGGCACACTGGCCTGTAGGCTGGATGCCAGCCACCAGCCCATCATTTCTCAGTGAAAAGAACCTTTCAGCTCGGTTACCTCCTGGAGAGAGCTGATTTTCCAGCAGTCAGGCTTGATCTGGGTAAATAATTAGAGAGCTGGAGAGCGAAGACATCGCTCTAGTGCTGTCTGTGATTCTGCTAGTATAGCCAGACCCTGTGATTCCATCCTTGCTACAATCTTAACTGTTGTCTTTCTCTAAAGATGCAGAGAAAGAGGGAGGGGGGAGGGAGGAAGAAACAGCAACAAAGCCGGTTGCTTGCATTTGTCTTGGAAGAATTAATGACATTTTTCATTCTTTGGGTGAAAATAAGAAAATCGCTGCGGTTCTTTATCTGCACATAAGAAGGTGAATCTCGGTCTACCTCCCTCTCCCTAACCGCTCTCACCTCCCAGGCCCTGCATGCTCAGTGCAATTACTTTGGCATATTGATTTATTTTTAAAACTATATTACCCCTCGTTTACTGGAATTTGCAGGGCTCTGGGTCATGCAGGCGGATCACATTTCTCATAAAGCAGACCCTGAAGTGGTTAATAGGTTGTTGTTGAACTTTTGCAGCTGCTCATTAAAAGCTGAATTTTTAAAAAAAAGGAAAAAGAAATATTGGCTGTTATAGAGCATGTATGTCTCTCTAAAAATTTCCATTGTTCTGAAACTTTATCACATTTTATCCTGTCCTTCTGTGTGAAGAGAATAAGGAATTGATAAAATTATTCCAAGGTTCTAGTGAAATTCCCAGTTTTTCTCTCATTTGTGTCTTCTGTTGCAACCTCTATAGTTTATTAGACCATTAATTCTCATTGATTGAGAATCATGGTCACAGGGGCAATCTGATTTGCTGAAAAATAGTAATTATACTAGTGGAGTTTTATTACTTTGGAGGAAGCTATATAGATAAGAATGAATACTAAGAAATGGGAAAAGGTAACATAATTAAGAATAGTTATAATGCACAACAAGCATGTTTAACATAGTTCCATGTTAACTACAAAGGTCCTCTAACAATTTCTGGAAGACAGAACTGGAACAAGAACTGGAAGACACAATGAAGAAACAAAGGCTGTTAGTTTTGGTGGCTTCCTTTTCCAAAAGTACAAGATTCTGAGGGTCAAGAAAGGTGGATGCCAGACACTTCCCCACCCATGGCCCACCACCGCAGAACTGTTTATCACAGCCTGCAAAATCAGCGAGTCCTTCCCTGAGTTGAACTACAGACTTTTCTGGCAGATACCAGCTGAACTGGTAACCTGGCTTGCTTCGGTCACCAACATGGCAGGCCTTGCTGGGTGTTGGGGGTGGGTGTGACAAACCTAGATGGTCTGACCCATCCGGGAGTTAAGTAACCCCACTAAAGGAGCGGGTGCAATAATGCCATGTACGTCTCCTGCTCGCCTGCATTCAGACCCGCTCTCCTCACCAGAGGTTATTTTTCCTTTTTAATTTTTCATCCATTCAGTGAAGCAGTTCATCTTGGAACTAAAAGCAGCAAAAGTTGATTGATATTAACTGTGGCACCTCTGAGCGGATTAAACCTAATCCCTTCCTCCTTCCTTCCTTCCTTCTTTCCTTCCTTCTCTCCTTTTTTCCTCCCCCTTGCTCCCTTCCTCCTTCCCTCCTCCTTTCCTGCCCAAACCCAAGGGAGACTAGAAGGCTTTTTTCTGGCAGGAGAGGGAGGTCCCTGGGGACTCCATGCCAGTAGGGTAGGTGTGTCGGGAAAGAACGTGAGGTGTCAGGAGTCTGGGGGCCAGGAGCTTCCCAAGTGCTTTCTGGTCTCACACAAAGGGGATGGGGATTTTTTTTTTTTTAATCATGGGACGTGATTGTTCACAGCTATGGGACAACCTCCCGCACGGTCTCAGGACTTGAGGATTTGGGGATGTCCTAAAAGAATCCTCTGGAGGTAAACAACATGTAGGACCCCCTCTCTTCAATGCCACTGGCACGTTACCGCTTTCAAAGCAAAGCCAGACTCTGGCCCTGCCCGAGGTGAAGTCTTTGTCTGCCTGCGCGCCCGGCCGCTCCGGCTTCGGATTGATTTTTGGCCCCCGCGGCAGCAAGTTGGGGGCTGGCTCGGAGGGTGGAGGCGGCTTGGGGGCGGAGTACGGACTGGCATCCCCGGCTGCAGGGAGCCCACTGCTGCTCCAGGATTTTTTTTTTTTTTTTTACTTGGAATTTCCAGATGACAAGAAAGAGGTTTCTCCTGGATCTGAGGGAGCCATTAACATCTATTAGTAACGCCGATGGGGTAAGTAGCAGAGTGGCGCTCGGGGCTCCAGTCGGGTGTGCGGTCCTCGCAGAGCTCGAGCATCGGCTGCCCTGCGCTCCGGCTGGGTGCGCTCCGGGGCCGGCGGGGACGTGGCCGGCTGCCTGCCGGCTCCGACCCCTGCCCAAGGTAAGGGGTCCTCACTGGGGCTCCTGCAGCTGACCTGGCTCCCCTCCCGGGACTTCTTGGCAGGGCATCTTCTCTGGCCGGTGAATTACTTGTCATTCCTCCTGGGGCACTGCCGGCCGCCTTCCTGGGACCGTCCTTTCAGATTCGGTGATCCGCCCCGACACCCACCGGAGTCTCTCCCTGGAGGTGGTGCTTATGCATATTCATTTTGTCTGGTAGCCGGCTACCCGACTTGCCATTGCAGGTTGATTTATCGATGTGCGTGTAAAGTGTGTTTTATTTGAGTAATTAGCAATCCTGAATTCGTGGAATCGTCTGCGCGTCCCAGATCAAAGACAAAAGGTGGTCCTGCCACCTCCCCCCACCCCTTCATTTTCTAGCTAGTGACCACTGACTTCTGTTGTTTTAGGGAAAGCTCGTTAGCAATGGCAGATTCCCCCCCCAACCCCAGAGGAATCACTGAATTCAATCTTAGTGTTGGTAAATAAAGCATACAGTTATTTTTAAAGCCCAGCATTTGAGAACTAACTTCTTCAGGGCTCTGTGTCCACTGAGTGGACAGTGTGTTGTGTTGTGTTTCAGTTTGGGGTTCATTCCAGGATTGCTCTTACTTCTGTGAAACCGTCAACCGCATGTTCCCATCCAGGTCCATGAAAAGAAATGTTGCCTTTCATTACAAAGGAGACTGCAGTGAAAGGGAGACACGACTTCAACTGTATATTCTATTTTCTTATTTTGTTCTTCAGCTGTGGTTTTCATCTTGCCATGCTCCCAGCCCTCTCACAGTCATCTATAACCCCATCATTAAACAAAATATTACCTCCACGGACTTACTTGTATTTTTTCAGGAGCTCTATTATGCCTGTAAATTTGACCTGGATGATGTTACTATTTTGATAGGTTATTCTGTCATACAGGAAGTCACAGTCTATGGATCAGTATGTCCATGTGAACCATCCCTCTCCCCCCAGTCACATCAGCTAAATTGTTTCTAAAAGATATTTTTAGGCCAGTGAACACTTAGCAAAAATGTCTCTACAGTTCCTGATAGAACTATTTTTAGATTCAGTACTTTAAAAGCCTGTTCAACCCAACCAGTTCCAATCAATGTAAATGTGCTCCTAACAAAAGATCTTTATATTGTTAGTGATTAAATCATTACACATTTCCTTTATGGAATTAACTGATCTAACAAAAAACTCTCACCCCATGAAATATTATTCTGATTTTAAACTCTAGAAAAAAGTATACATTTCTTGTATTTTCAAGGGCAGAAGTCGTGTAAGAATGAATCACTCGAGTATAGAACATTTGTTTGGGTTTTATCTTTTCTGCAGACTTATTGTGTATTCTATTTGATATGCCTCTGTTACTTCTTTAAAATAATCTAAACTTTCAGTCTATTGCCAATTAGTATTCTATATAAAATAAATGAATGTATAGTGCACATATACGTGTAGGATTTAGTCCATGGGTAGAAACAGCAGCCATTAGGGTAAGACTAATGAAGCATCTGCCTCTATGAGAAACAGCAAGAGGGAAACCACTCCACATCAATAACTTGTAGGTAACCCGCATGAAAAGGGGCCCCAAAGCTTTTCTCCTCAAATATTAAACACGCTTTCCCTGATGGTGTCGTATTGATGTTGGAAGGGTTAAATAAAAGTGAGAGGACCAAATGTTAACTAGGCAATATATTGTTTCTATGTTATTTACTACAAACATTTTTGACATGCCTCAATTGCTGAAAAGGAATCATAAACTTGATATTCTGAAGATGGCATGAAGCTAGCTTTTTAACGGGAACAGCAGAGATGAGCGGCTCTGGCACATAGGCACAGGGTGTGTTTGGTCTGTCTTTGTGCCTGCTTTATAGGAGGCACATCACCCTTGTCTGAGCTCTGGTACTGACGGATCGAACACAGAATGAATATGTAACGACTTAACACAGCAGTAATACATTTAGCATGTAAGCAGTTACATAGATCTTTCTGAGAGCGTGGGAATAGCAGAAATTTACCATGGACAGAATGTCAGGAAGGAAAGAATTAAGGTGAACTGGGCTGACTGTCTCTAAGCAAAGAGATACTCTGCCTTGAAATGTGTATTTTTGAGTGAGAACACAGTAATCACCAGCACCACCTTTCGTGATACTGTCTGCATGGTCTTTTGTTCACTGTACGTGGAGTTGGCCCTGAATCTTTGGGGAGGATAATGGTGTATATCATCTTTTACTGAGTCTGAATCCTCTTGTGCTCCTACGAGATACGCACAAATGCTTGCTTGTTAGACAGTAACCCATGCAAACATGCATTTGTGCAGTCGTCTTTTCAATTCATTGAAAAAATTACAGGGAATTTTTTCTTGAAGCTCCATTCCAGACCATTACCATCAGATCACTAGTTGTGATTTTTTTTTTCTTTTTAGCCCAAGAAGTGACCCTTTTCCCTACCAGAAACTCTTAATGATTAAAAAGAGAGGTGTTTGGTTTGGTTGGTTGGTTAGGCTTCTGTCCTAAGAAAGAACAGCAAATGAAATATTCCTCAGTATCAGAAACATTTGACACAAACGTCCTATTTGATTGACTCAAGGATTTACATATGTATTTTCACCCCCATTTCTGTGAATAATTGAAAGGGAACTGTTTAATATAAAAGCCTGTACCTGAACAACATGATACTATATCTGTCTGTCGTGGTTGAATCAGAAGCAAGGGAAAGTCATTTCCACTTTGCGACCACCATTGGTCCTCTCGTTTATCAAGGGTGATACTGAGACTGAATTTACGGGGAGTATTAGAGATTATGTGTGTAGTTATTTACTGACACACAAAACTGTTGTTTTTTAAATGCAGCTCAACATAGGATGGAATTCTTTGCACTTTCTGTGCACTAGGGGCAGTTATCCCACTAGGATGTTTTGAATTCCCCTAAAAATTAGATGGAATGAAAAAAAAAACCTTCTTGTGTTGGTAGAGTTAGGCTCCTGTAGTAGCCGGTATGTGACCTCTAACCACCTTTGAGTCAAAGCTGTCTCTGGTCTCACTTTAACATTATCATTTTGGGGGTTGTGATGATCCCCCCTAAAAAACTCCCACATCTTCTGTATGATTGAAAAGGACCTGATTTTGGTGTATTTTTGCAGAGCTTAGTTCCAGGGAGACAATAAAATACCTTAGTGGTTTTATCTTTACATAATTTATGTATTTTAAGCTCTCTATTTCAGGTCACTGGCCTATTTTGCTACTCTGGATGGTTGACCAATGTTAACAAACCCAGCAGATCTTAGGATAAATGAAGAGTGACTGTGGGCAGCCCCAGAGGCCATCAGTAACCAGTTTCTAATAGATTCAAAGAGAAAGCTCTCACCCTTTCTTCAAACTTGATCCCAAACTCAGTGCCCTCCTGCCTGATAATCATTAATGATTCATATGGGATTTGATTTCCAGTGAAGTTTCCGTGTCTGTGCCCCAGAGGATTTCCTTATAACGATCTCTGGATGGCTGAGGGGTTAAATAAGCTCTTTCCCTCTATGCTTCAAGGATAACCACAAAAAATCAAACTGTACAGTAACATCAAGGTATTGTTTAATTACTAGACAGCTGATGGTCTTTGACCTGAAGAGTGAAATTTAAGAAATTTCTTAAATTGCATGGCAAATACTGGATAATAGATACCAGTTCCACAGCCTCAAGATAAACTTTGGTGCCATATTCTCACCCAGAATTTAAAGCATCACCTTCACACCACTGTGGAACCGATTGTCACATGCACCTGAGTAAAATGTGGATGTGTTGAAGTGTAGAAATGTGTGCTCATCTTGGCCAGGGACTGAATCAGGCTGGGCAGTTCAGTCTGCATTTTGCTTAACCACAAAATCCTCACGACTAGGGCCTGCCAGGGTGAAAATGGATGCTTGTCACTGTATGGGACAGGTATGCCGGTCAGTGATTGTGGCCACCTCTTAGACCCCCTCTCCTGTTCTGAAGACTTTCCCTTCTTCCACAGAAGCTAGAGTGAGCCTTGGGGGTGCTTGTGTCTTTTTAAATTATGGTGTGCCCTGGATATGCCCAGGAGTGGAGTTGTATTGGTTACCAAAAGGGAAATGTGGAAGAAAGTGATAAGTTGGGAGACTGGGATTAATATATGCACTGCACTATAAATAAAATAGATAACTATTAAGGACCTACTGTCTTAGCACAGAGAACTCGACTCAATGCTCTGTAGTAACCTATGTGGGAAGGAACCTGAAAAAGAATGGATATATGTATATGTGATACGTAAGTGATTCACTTTGCTGGACATCTAAAACGTAACACAGCATTGTAAATCTACTCCAGTGAAAATTTTTTTAAAAAGCTAGAGGCAGTCGGAGAAGTAAAAGCCTGGCAGGAAAGCCGTGGCAGAGGCCCGCCCTTGTCTGTCTGTCTGTGACGGAGCAGATCAACGCAGGTGGTCGAGGGCATTGGTGGCGAGTTGGCAGAACATGAATAATCCAATTCCCCGGGAAGATGATAGACCGGAAACGCTAACTGAGGGATCATTTCCTGTGTGTTCTGCCGGCTGTGCTGTGCTTCCGCCTCCACACCCCCGGGAGGTTCAGGTCCTCGTCCGGGTTCAGAGCCGCCGTCCCAGGGAAGACTCCCTGGTGGCGGCGGCCACCCCAGCCCTATTAAGATGCAGCTCTTGTTGTCAGCGACAGTCTTGACAGGGCAGGAATCGGGTTGAACCCGTTGAAACCACTAGCATTCAGCCATTTCTGACCTATAAAACCAGCAGCTTCTCATCTCCCAGTTTCTCACCTTGCTCTCCTTCTCACAGAACCAGATCACAGAATTCCCCTGCCTGCAGAATGTCCTACTGGCTTCTCAGCGGCCTCAGAATAAAATCCAGGCTCTGCACCTTGGCCTCCTGATCCATCAGGACCCGGTTCCTGCCGGCCCTTCTTCCCCTGCCCCGGTCCTGTCGCCCAGCTCCCTCTTCCTCCGAATGGCGTCCTGGCCTTGGAGAAGTTCCTGGAGCTCAAGTCAGGATCTTTGTATCTGCCCTGTGCATTCTGTCGAGCTCCTCATAATCTGAACCTCAACTCAGATGTCACCTCCTCAGAGAGGCCTTTCCTGGGCCTTCTGTCTAAAGGAAGTTTTCCTCCTAACCCTATTAGCTCATTGTAATTTTTTTTTCTGGGTGCTTTATCCCTATCTAAAATTACCTTTTCCCTTTCTTAAAAAAATTGAAGTGTAGTTGATTTATAGGCACAACAATAGCCTGCTGTATGCAAAGTGACTCAGTTATACACAAACACACATTCTTTTTAATACCCTTTTCCATTATGATTTATGGCAGAATATTGACTATAGTTCCCCATGCTATATGGTAGGACCTTGTTGTTTATCCATTCTAAATGCAATAGTTTGCACCCACCACCCCCAGACTCGCAGTCCATCCCTCTCCCTCCACCCTAGACCTAGAGAACAGACTTGGGCTGTCCTTGCTGCTTAGTTGTCAGCTCCTTCACGACGGTGGAGAAAACAGGCACTGTCTGGCTTGTTCGCTCTGTCCTCCCTGCCTGGCCACACGGCAGGGAGGGGCTTAGTATGGATTTGTTGGGTGGACACCGTGTGGACGCCTCGCTCACAGCTCCGCACCGTCCGCAGCCGCAGCCACTGCAGAGCCTGGCCCCGAGCAGCCAGGGCTGCCAGTCGGGAGCCTCCGCCCTGCCCTGTGCTGACTGCCCCCTGCTAACACCTCGTCCAGGAAGTGGGAATGAGGGCTGCTGGAGGTCTCCTCCTCCATTCATCCTCTGCCAGGATTGCTTAAGTTTCCCTGGACGGGTCTTGTAAGACCCAGCCGACCCGTGATGCTTCCCCTACTTGCTTGAGCTCCTTCCTTGTCTCACCCTCCTGTCCCGCTCCTGCTAAACCATCCTCCCTTGAACTCCTGTTGCAGGCAGTGCTCTTGGGGGGAACTCAGGCTCATGAAGGTGCAGTAGATTTTGTGATGTTTTTCTAAAGTTAAATCTTGTTCGGTAAGTCGCAGTACTACCGGAGGTGATCCGGTAATAGCCAACAGTGAATGTGGTTAGGCAAATGTGGTTACCCACAAATGCAGGACAGGCCCCACGGTGGGGTGGATCAAGGGGAGGGCTGTCTTTTCTGCTGAACTTTTTTTTTTTTTAATTTATTGGATTTTAGTTGATTTACAATTTTGTGCCAGTTTCAGGTGTATAGCAAAGTGATTCAGTTCTTTTTCTCTTATAGGTTCAGATCCTTCTCTCCTATAGGTTATCGCAGAGTAGAGTTCCTTGTGCTATACAGTCGGTTCTTGTTGGTCATTTATCTTGCATGTAACGCTGGATGTCAATTCCAAACTCCTGATGTATCCCTCCCTGCCACATTTCCACTTCGGTAACCATAAGTTTGTTTTCAGTTTCTGTAAATCGGTTTCTGTTTTATAAATGAGTCCATTTGTGTTATTTTTTAAAAAAATAGATTCTACATATAAGTAATATGCTATTTATCTTTCTCTGACTGACTTGGTATAATTGTCTCTAGTTGTACCCATGTTGCTGCAAACAATATTATCTCATTCTTTCTTATGACTGAGTAGTATTTCATTGTACATTTGGACCACATCTTCTCTATCCATTTCTCTGTCTATGGACACTTCGGTTGCTTCTGTCTTGGCTCTTCTGTTGCATCTTTGAAAAGAGTAAGTTGCCACGTTGTTTTCTGCCTTCCTCTGAAAAGTCAGAGATGATGGAGGCACTTTGTCTCTCCTTTCCTTCTCTTGTTAAACTCCCACTGCCCTGCCTTGCCTGCCATGGGTTTCCTTTTGTTCTGGGCTTCTAGAACCCTAAGCATCAGCCCGTCTCTTCTTAAAGCCCATGGCATAGCTACAAAACAGCTGGAACTGGAGGGTAAGATTAGCTTAGAGCAGTGTTGAGTGGCTTCTCCTGCCCTGGGGTCTCCACATAGGCAGTGAGCAGCGGAGAAGCCAGTGGTTCCAACGGGCGGGCACACCTGAGTTCCCATTTCAGCATTCACCTGGAGGGACTGCCAGTGCCCTTCAATGCTTTGGACTCCTAACTTGCTAGATTATGCTTTTCCTGTCCACACAGAGGCCAGATGCATTGGAAAAAAGAACACTTCAAAGGTGGCTTTTAAATTATATGCTTTTCATAGTATTGGCAAAACCAAGGAATAAAAACACCAGGCAAAATAACTGACAATAAAATAGCTCTTCTTTCCAGGCCCTTCTTTTGGGAAATGTAGAATCTTTGACTTGACAAGGGATAAAGCATCCTTGTATCTCTTCTTATTTTGGATTCTTAATGCAAAACAAAATCACACTTTGAAAAATGAATCTCCCAATCTTTGTCCTCAGCTTTGATGGAAGGTACAAGGATCTTTATGGTGTGTGAGTGACCAGAACAGTCACTTTTCTTGTAGGCATACCATCATGCTCAGAAGAGAGTACTCTAAAAACTGAAATATTATTTCTAAAAACTGAAATAACTTCAGTATTTTCCATTTGGGCCTTGTTCAGTCCTATAAATCTGAATAGCCCATTACCCAGTATTTTAGAGGAATTTAACTCGACTGTGTTCCAAGAGTTTTTTTCTTTAACGTTATCTGTTAAGATCTTGCTCATAATTCTGTTATCCTCTTGCTTATTAACATATCAAGTCAGATTTTGCAAAAGCAGGTCTTTCATCTCTCTCTCCTTCTGCCAAAGCACATTCTTCACATACAGCGCTTTGTGTGTTTCTGCCGACAGCTCGCGATCAACGTCTTGAGAGTAAAAATCTGCATGCAGGCTAAAGATCGTTTATTGTTCAGGCCAGCTCCTCATCTTCTCTAGACTTTATAGCCCTCGTTTATTTGTGACTCCATCCTCCATTTTCTTTGAGGGAATGTCCCTGTGTTTCCTATGTCAGGTGTTTCCATCTTTTGCTTTGCTTTCTTAACCATATTTTCACCTTTCTAAAAGCCTAGAAGTGAGAAGAAAGAGCAAGGATGTGGCAAGATGGAACTGGTAACTGGCCCTCAAACTGGAAGTGTGAAATTACTAATAACATAACACATAGGTGTAGATACACAGAGTGACCCCCATGCTGAGTCATTCATTGAAATGTGTTCTCAGTTATTCTTGGTCACTTTCAGGGGGAAGAAGTGGACCCTGGACCCTTTGCATATGAACTACTTGACTTTCTTGTCCCTCTTCCATCTGCTTATTTGGCCATGCACAGTACCATTCTGAAATCCATCAGGTCCTCTTGGTTATTTTAAAATTCACATTGATATCAGTGTAATTCAATGAAGTACCTTACAAATTAGCACTGTGCAGAGAGAAAAAAAATAGGTATGGTTTAAATTTTATGTTGGTGGTGGTATGTACAAAACCAGGGAATAAAACCAGCAAAATTGCAGATATTAAAAATTAGTATTTTCAGACCCTTCCTTTGGAAAAGGTAGACCCTTTCACCAGACAAGGTTGCCCCATACAGACTCCATGAGTTCTTCTACTGGCTTGGGTCCCAGGCTGGTGGTTTAAAACCTGGCCTGAATAGAGTTGCCAGATGAGAATAGTTTATGGTTGATCAAGGGACAGGACACTGGGAGGTAAGTGGGGAGCTGAAGTGAGAACGCCAGGGGTGATGATTATAAATTCAGATCCCCAGGCCAGCCCCTCTCCAAACCTAAGGTTCTGATTCAGTAGGTCTGAGGCCGGAGCGTGGGATTCCACATCTTCACAACAGCACCAGGGGCTGGGGCTAGCAGACTGGTTTGAGTACTTCTCTCAGCTTCAGCTTCCACATCCCTAAAAAGAGGGTAAGAACGTCTGTGTCAGAGTTGTTGGCAGGAACTGAAAGAACGTGTGGGAAAGGTCCCTGTGAACCGTGAAGTGAGACAGACTAGGATGTTGAATGAGTGGGTTTAACTCTCCGCCTCCTGCTGAAAGTCTATAAAGATTGAGGTGGGCCCTGCCCACACATCCCAGGATGCTAGAAATTACTCTTGTTCCCGGTAGAATCCTCTTCTCAGTCTTCATCTACCCACATCAAAATGCCAGGAAAGGCTTTGTAACCCCCTAACTCTTTCCTTCCTTTAACAAATACTGATAAAATGGGGCATCTGCTGTTCCAGTTGCGTGGGACACATCCAAGACTGGTTTTCCTGCCTTGCTTGACCAGAGTGGGTAGAGATGTACCATGGTTTGGTCCATGGAGAGAATAAGGTCTGTCTGATTTCTGCTGCTTTTCAGATAACCCTTAAAATAGTATTGATCAGAAATGTCTGTAGTTAGTCCTGAAAACACTTCGTAAGAGGTGACTCAGAGCCCTTCTAAGCCAGTAAGAAGGATGGGCTTTCCCAGGTCACGTCGTTATAGCTCTGTCACCCAGGAAATCCTGAGAGATACTGCTCATAGCTGAGCCCCAAATTAGGGGTTTCATCTTGCCTTCCCTCATCCAGAATGTGCAGAAAACTTTGACCAACACCTGTCTCTGGGAAAAAAAAATCCCCAATTATTTTCACTTACTGGAGACTGTAACTTAGTCTAGAGTAAAGACCAAGAATTAACGCTTTAATATGGTATGTGTTTTCATGAAGTAACTTCTCAGCCTTTGTGGAAGACAGGAGGGTAGTTCCCGCTCATGTGACATAGGAAGTCCTTTCTGAAATAATGCAGTAATAACAGTCCCTGCCCAGTCAACAGATTCAGCATATGCCAGACTCCTTATATGAATTATGGCTTAGAGTTGGTTGGAAGATATGAGGAAGGAATGATGCAAGTGTTGGGCAGCAGCTGAGACGGGAAGGTTAAGTGGCTTGCCTAGGGCCGTGCATCTTGTGAGTGGCAGAGCTGGAATTTCCACACAAGTGTATGGTGACCACTGGGCTCTTCTGCCTCCCCCAGTGTGGTAGAACTTTGTGTAAAGCAGTTCAGCCTCAGACTTCCCTGAATGAGGGGTATGGCTACTAAAATAACAAAAGGAGGTTACCAAAATACAGTGTGAGCCAGCCTTTCTCAGTCGGCTCCTTGAAAGTATTAGCCCCTCAGGCATGTATGATGTACTG